TTCTTGGTACGCATGGCACTTTCCATCCTATACTGTAGACTGGAGACACTCAACAACTCCCAGAGTGACCACTACGTGCCAAGAACTGTTCTGGGGTTACGCTGGTGCTCGAGTTAGATATACACTTCTATTTTCGCAGAGAAAATAAACTTGAATCAACTGATCACACAAGATATGTATTACAGTCTAGGGATACCTATGAAGAAGTGCAGAAAGCCTAGTAAGCAGGTAAAAAGAATCTGACCTCATCTGGCCAGGTGGGGTGGGGGGCAGGGGAGTGAGTGTGAAGATATCAGAGGAAGGCCCCAGGGTGAGGGGCCACCTGCATACTTACTTTATCATCCATATTTGGTTAGGGATCATTTTCTTTTTCGTCTTTATATCAGAGAGCCCATGTCAGCAAATCATGGCTGCCCACCTGTTTCCTTAAATAAATGCTATGGGAACCCAGCCTCTATGGCTGTTTTGCGATACAATGGCATAGGGGTTTCAGCAGGGACACAGTAAAATCTCTACTACCTGGTCCTGTGCAGAGTTTGCCAACCTGTACCCTGCAGCAACATGTTCAGGTCATACACAGGAAGCATTTGAAAGTTTTTATAAATTACATTTATTTTTACTCTGCTTCTATACGATGTTGAAGGGAATTATAAATATATACATAGGTTAAACACAACCAGCGACAGAACACCACACAGTGCATGATTCCATGTATATGAACTGTCCAGACCAATAAATCTATAGAGACAGAAAGCAGGTTACTGGTTGCCTGGGGCTGGAGGAAGCAGGGAGGTTGGAGGGGAAAAAGTGATTGCTAATGGGTAATGGGGTTTTTATTTGGCGCTGATGAAAAGGTTTTAACAATGATTGTGGTGATGAATGCACGGGCTCTGTAAATACAGTAAGAGTCACCGAATTGTACACTTTTGACAGATGAGTTGTATGGCATGTGAATTATATCTCAATAAAGCTGTTATTGAAGAAGAGTCACATAACTGAAGTGTGCTTTTATTTTGGTGGTGGGGATTTAGGTTTGATAGATGGAAGAAGAATATACTTATTTTAGAGAGTCTAGTTAATTTTTTTTAAAGTCATTACAACAGAGCAAACAACTTGAGTCTGACTCGCCTAGATCCTCAGATGGGAAATGTCCAATAATGCACTGTCTATTGTAAGAAGCACTGAACGGCTAATCCTAAAGGACAGGTTTTCTGCTCCTTCTGAGCCCTAGAAAAGTTGCTAGGGGGGCTTTTATGTAGGGTTCACTGAAAAAAATGAGAGCCAGAATCATTGAAGACAATTTTATAGAAATGACAGTGATGACTGTTTCTTACGTTGACGCTCAGTGAAAACCAAGGGCTCAGAAATGCGTTCGATTGTCTAGGCCAGTGCTGAGCCATTGAACTCTCTGGGATGATGAAAATATTCTGAATCTGCAGTGTCTAATAAGGTAGCCACCACCCTCACGTGGTTACTGAACACTGGAAATGTGGCCAGTTTAATTAAAATTAAACTGTAACTTAAATGTACTCCATTTCATTTTATTTAAATAGTCACATGTAGCTAGTGATTGCCATTCTGGACTGGGCAGGTCTAGAAAGTATGGAAATGACACTAGAATGCTATTTACTGAGCCCTATAAGTAACTCAGCACATTTTGTTGCCCTAAAAAACTGACAGTGTTTGGTGATGGTTTAAAAATTCAATGCAAAACACATTTTGTACTCAGGATGGTCTAACTGATAGGAAATTGACTCACAACTATGCATTCTATTTGTATGTAGTGATAGGATTATTATCATTGAATCAAAGCTGTTCACCTGAAAATATGATCATCTTCAACAATAACCTCTCCATTCCCAGCAGAGCTCAAAAGCACACAGAAATATCAAAAGGCATAACTTGGTTATGTTCTACCTTAATGAACTAGTACGAAAAAGAAGTTGAAAGTGGGAAGAGTGGTGAACGAGACTGAATCATAGAAACTTAATACTGCAGCTGGCAGGTCCTAGTGGAAGAAGGATGCGGGAAGTGGTCATTGAGTCTGTGCATGAGTGAAGCTCTGATGAACAAGGAAATGGAAAGCAAATGTGATGGCGGAGGGTCATTTAGGAGAGGCTATGAATCCAGTGTGGCATTAAACTCCAGGATAAATGACTGGTCAACATATCATCTGGTCCACTTCGGAAGGAGGCAATTAGAAATGGACAACATATATACAAGAGTCTCCCATAGGCGTTATATCTATATGGTGAGATTCCACAAAAGTAGAAACATACGAGCATTTTAGTGACTCTAGTGTGTGTGCGCGTTATAAATACTGAATTAACTCGAGTTTACTAATGTGTCTTTGGGAAAAATAAACTAAATAACATCTAGAAAAGTCTCACTTGAACAACCAGACAGAAAAGTTCTTCCATGAGTCATAATCTGATCGAAAGAGTCCGGTGATGTTTACCAAGAGGGTGGCTTCCCTAAGAAGGGTATTTATAGTACAAAGTGCTTTAATTTCTCTTTCTGAAATAAAATTTTATCAGCAACTAAGAATCCTAAACATAGCACTGGGATTCTGAAACCTACATATGCCTAAAAACTGAGTAGTTGAAACTGAACCATGCGTATGCTTCCATCATGTGTGGCAGGGAGGAGAGTGCAGTGTACCTGGGCTGTGGACTCAGCACAGGTGTGACCACGGACAAACCTAAGCCTCAGTCTCTGCATTGGGAAAATGGATATAATAATAACACCCACTTCAAAAGGTGTTGTGAACGACACACGAGACGGTGCATATGAAGCTTGCAGCATCATCACTGGCACAAACTGCGGGTTCAATAAATGTTAGCTATCACCAGGGTTATTGCTAAACATTTTGAAAACAGGTAAACTTTTGTTCCATCTGTTTCATTAACAAATAAATTATTGGGCCAGCCGAGTGGTGGGTTGGTTAGGAGCTGCTTGGGACGCCAGCTCTGAGCAGCAGTGCCCCGGTTCGGATCCCACATATGAGGACCAGTGATGCTGTGCCCTCTACAGCTAAGATGGTGAACAACAGTTTGGCCTGGGGCTGGGCTGCCGTGAGTCACCAGTGACGATGTAGTCTGCAGTGGGGCTGGCTGGTAGCTAGCGTGAGCTTTTGTGAGCTGCTGTCAGCCGCCGTGCAATGGCTGGCAAGCAACTGCCTCACCCGGGAAGAGCGCAATGATAATACCAACACGGGACAGTGAAGCGATGTCCTCTAAAATTAGACTGAAGAACAAAAGGACAGCAACTTGTCTGTTCCCCTTCCCTGATTCCCCAATGCTGTTCCCCTCCCCCACATCCCCAATTAAAAAATAAAATAAAAAATAAATAAATAAATTATAATTTCACCTTCTTCTTGAATTAGATCCTCTTTAATAAGTCCCTTATACAAAAAACATATACTAAATGTTTTCAAGATTAACGCATGGAATTGTTATGCCCACATGAGGTTTTTGTGGGCACACAGAATTCAAAAGGGACTGTTTCGGGTTTGCCTTTACACAGCATGGCTAAGGGAAGAAACCCAGATCAAAAAGCATATTGCAGGGGTAGGCCGAATGGCTCAGCTGGGTAAGAGTTGGCTTAAGAGTGGGCGCTCTGAGTTACAGAGCCGCCGGTTAGATTCCCACATGGGCCAGTGATGCTGCACCTGAGCCGAGCTGTCGCTGAGCTGCCAACAGGTGGCAGGATGGCTCAGCTGGTGTAACAACAAGATTGCCTGTTTGATGGTGGGCTACGCTCACCCATAACCAAGACTGAACTCATCACCTTGAGCTGAGCTGCCACCCGAATGGCTCAGTGGATAGAGCATGCGCTCTTAACAACAAGGCTGCTGGGTTCGACTCCTCCATGGGATGGTGGCTACGCCCACCCGCAACTAAGACTGTAACACAGCACCTTGAGCTTAGAGGCCACGAGCTGCCCATGGGCAGCCAGATGGCAGCTGGTGCCCTCCACAATGAAGACTGAAGAACAACTTGGCTGGTCCCCTTCCCCAATTCCCCAACACTGTTCCCCTCCCCCAATTCCATAAATAAATAAATAAATAAATTCTCTTAAAAAAAAAAAAAAAGCAGCATATTGGGGATAGCTCCAAAACGGCTGTGGATCAGAAGCATGTTATATTCCAGCTCTTCTAACTGCCATAAAGAAGAAGATCCATTCAAATATTCAAGTATTCATTCATTCATTCATCCTTCCATTCATTCATTTATTGAGCCCAAATTACATCCAGGCACTGTTCTTGGTGTTCGTGCTACACAATGAACAGGATGGACAGAGATGCCTGCCTTCATGGAGTCTATATTCCAACATGAAAGGAAGTTCACCCAAAATAAAGTGTTTACTAAGTTTCTCTCTCTTTTTATATTAAATAACATAGCGCCTCACTCAGTTACATCAGACTTTTATGTGCTAGTAAAGACCCTTCTATATTTTTTCTTTTTGATTTTATCTTTTACTCACCCTGACCTTCCGCGACAGAAACTGAATGTAATATTCCTCTCAGATATGAGGCAGACACTTATAGTTATCATTAAAAGCTAAGCAAAAATTATAATTACAATAATGAAGCAGATTATTTCTACAACTAAGCAGAGTGACAATAATTAGCTTTATTCCTTGTTAACCAGAAATACAGTAAGAATGTGATAACTTCTTTTTTTGCTACTACAGTTCACTTTCTTCCTTATTTATAGACGGTTGAATACTCATAAAGGCCTCAACTAGAAAATTTTCTTTTGGGAATGAATTTTGTTTAAATATGAATTTCTTTCAGATAAATGCAAACATCATTAGATTTATGAAATAGGGAGAATTTGAAAGTTAACGGAAGTGACATTTATGAGAAAAACATGAACTAAAATGGTGGGAGAGAGAAGAGAGTGAGATTTAGTGGATTATCTTTAGCTGAAATGAAAGGCGGACTGAACGCTTTAAAATCCATCACACACGTGTCTACTGACGAGGGTTCTTTTTACCTGGCTGCCATGAGATCCAGGAGATGCTGCCACCGGTCGTTGACCTTTCCAAGCTTGTATTCAATCTCAGAGGCCTTGCTTTCATGGCTGGCTCTAGCAAGTCGTTCTCCCATTTGTTGGAGCTGTATTTTGTTCTCTTGGGCAATGGCAATTTCCTCTTGATAATCCTGCAAGATGAACAGCAGTCACAGAGGTCAGAAAGCATACTCTTGATACATTCAGACTGGCTCTGCTAACAACATGATACTGACAGTTTTGTACTGCTTAGAAGTATTTGGGCATGAGGAACACCATGTGAATATCCGTCCATGTGCCCAAGACTTTACTGGAACCTTTATTTTCAGCACGTATGAGAGTTCCAATTGAATTTTCATATAGATGTTCTATAGGGAATGGGGGGGAAGGTGCTTTCTAATTACATAAAATGGGCATTAAAAGACAATAAAAATACATTACATAGATATAAAAGACAAAACTGAAAGGATTTTAATGATAGGAAATTATACCTTACGACTGAAATCACCAACCTGATGTTATATTTAGAATCAATCCTTATACAAATAGCTCCCAAAGGACTTATAAGATATGTGTGTGTGTGTGTGTGTGTGTATGTGTTGGGGGGAAGCAGATAGATGTGAACTGAGGGAAAGAGGTGAGGAAACCCTCCACACATCTCCTTCGAGCTTATCTGTCCTTTGAGCTTATCTACAGGACAAGGATCATTCTTTTTCAGAAGAAATGTTCTGTATTTTTCTCATTACTTCTTTAAAGGAAATCCTTGGATAAAGTGTCACAATATTTTTTATTTATCTATCATTATAAGAACTTGGAGCAACGCTCCTTTTGGTAGCACCCAGAATTCTAATTCATAATAGATGTTTACAGGCATCCCAAGCCTGGGTAAGTTAGCAAGCCTGTCTCTGCAGCTGATGGTTCTCCTTATAGTCCAACGTGCATTATAGGCACTTGACCTTTCTGGAGAAGGACTCTACCACTAAATCCAGTCGTCCATCTTCTTAATTCTTAACATTGTCACATGAATATATAAATATACACATACATAGTATATAATATCTATGTGTCACATACATATATATTATGTATCTACCTACCTACATACCTACCTACCTACCTACCTATCTACCTGTCACTACTTTCCTTCACACTAATTTAGTAGATCCAGAAAACCAAAACAAATAAAAAAAATTTACATTTTAAATAGATAGAACCAAAAATACCATTAGTAAATTCTATTCATTAGCAGAAATTTATTTGGGGGATGTTATGTCACAAGAAAAATATTTAAAAAAAAGAAAATTCTTGATATACTATTATTCTAACTTGAAAAAAATCATGAAATAAACATTTGCATAATGTACCAAGTTACTACTTTAGACATAAACTTCTACCCTTTGCATATGTGTTTTAAAATCTTTACACTAGTCAGTTATCTGACAAACCTAAACAGAAACACTTCCTCTCACACACAAAACCCTTTAGCCCCTTTAAAAAATGGGTAGATTTTTATTTAATAAAAGAAAAGCTTTTAGCTACCAAGTTGTGAACTGGCTAAGGCTGAATTTCCATTTCATCAGGAGCCCATTCTTTAAATAGCAGATGATGGACTGACTGGATCTTTTTACTGGATCTTTCTCTGAATCTCCTTCCTGTGTCTCAGGCTCTCTACTGTAGCCATACCCCTCGGATGACGCATACAGACTAGAGACAACTGGAATGCCAAGCCATAACCAAGTCCATTAACCTTTTCATCCAGCTCCACACGCCCAGTAGGGGGACAAGAAAACAAACCAACAAATAACTCTCAGGAGTCCATGGCCAACAGCCTCCTAACCCCAATCATCTCCACTTAACACTGGCAAACACAATTATGGAGTAAAGCTCCAGCCTCCACCCTATAAACCCCACATAACATGAAAGCTATGCACAACGGAAGAAACTCAAGGAGATGCCTGCCTTGTGACATCGCAGTTACAGTCTGGGAGATCTGCGTCCACACAGCCGTCCTCTGCCATCCTCAAAGCACACGGGTTTTCTGCCACCACCATGAAGTTTTCCACTTGCAAAAGTTAGGTCTGCAGAGCAAAAGGCTAAATCCTGCGTGAGGATCCCAGTTTCCACTCGTCTGTGTATGGAAGTATGAAAATGCTCACTCTAGACAAATGTTGCTAAGTCTCTGCCTGATAATATGACACTGAGCAGTGACAAGTGGTCATGTTTCTAAATAAAACCTACATTCATTAACATGTGCCCGGCCTGATCTCCTGGAATGCAGGCCACGAGTGTAAGAAGGGGAACAGGCTCAGGGTAATCAGCAAGGAGGGGGAGACTCCACGTCTAAAGAAGGAAGGATATCAAAAATAAGACGGGCTGCAGACGCTCCGTCGCTCTGGAAGGACCGTCTGCTTTTCTGTGGGCTATTTGTTAACTGGGGCAGGATATTTGAAAAAGATAAATCACCCAAATGCAAACAACCAGAACCTTCACAAGTACAGCCAACTGCAGTAGCAAACAGGAGCAACTTCTTTCTTTCTTCAATTTCATAGCCCAGCTAAATGGTGTGAGTAGGAGCCTGAGGGGTGGTTTGGGAAAGTGGGATGGAAAAGCTACTCGGTGGGAAAGTACATGGTCTTTACCTTTGAGTAGACTATTTGAGCATGAAAAATAATGAAGAAATTTTATTCCCCCTTACATATTCAAAGCCTTTGTCCTTTTAAACATAATCATGTCAAGTGACAAAAATAACATGTTCATTTTAAGATGACAAAATAAAAAAGTAACTGTTTATTTGCTTGGTGAAATTTCAGGAAACTTTTTTTCTTTTGTGAATTTCAAGAGTTTCCAAATTTTCTGCACTGAGTCTCTATTAATTTCATAACTCAAGCTTTTAAAGAAAATAAGCTCCCAATTTATTAATTACTGGTAATTTAATACAATGTGACTAATGCTGGCTGCTTTAAATGCTATTTGGAGTAAAGTATACATACATGCAAATAAATAACAAATAAATAAATAGTGAATATTTGCTAAGTTCTTTTTAAAAGGCATATACGTATAATGAACTGAAACTAAAATAAAACAAGACAAATTTGGTTCTGGTTGTGTAAATTGATTGCCTTTAAAAGAGAAACATGTTTTCTTTGTAAAAGCAGCAAACGTATTTTACATAAGAAATATATATACTCCAGAAGACTTAGTTATAAATAAAGTTATTTTTCAAATCTTGCCACTTAAATATATCCTATTATGATTTTTAAAAATAAAAACAATCAATTTTCTGTTATTTTTAACAATCAGGAATGTAAATATAAGCCCGGTTAAAGGAATATATTGATCATGAATTCATAACAGTAGGCAAATTTATTTTTACTTGATTATGGCTAACATTTAAAAAAACTTGATCTTTAAAATTTCTGCCATTATTTCCTTAGTTTAATTTCTTTGTTCTTTATTTAGTTTTCCTCATGGGTTAAAAAAATTTTTTTGCCATGCTCATTATCATTAGCACAATATATTTAATTCATTAAACTATAAATACAAGGCTTTAAAGACACAATTATGGTAATAGCAAAAAGTGGTAATAATATTTATGTCCATCAATAGGGAAAATACTGGATAAATAATGGTATATTAAAACTATGACTGGGCCAGCTGAGTGGCGCGTTGGTTAAGAGCTGGCTTGGGACACCAGCTCTGAGCAGCAGGGCCCCAGTTTGGATCCCACATGAGGGCCAGTGACGATGGACCCTCTACAGCTAAGATGCTGAACAACAGCTTGACCTGGAGCTGGACTGCCGTGAGTCGCCAGCGTCGGCGTAGGCTGCAGTCCCTGCTGCAGTGGGCTGCCATAAGCTACCGTGTGTGGCCAGCAGCCAGTGTGAGCGGCCGGCAGCCGGTGTGAGCTGCCAAGAGCTGCCGTGAACGGCCATCCAGAGGCCAGAGACTGATCTGCCTCACCCGGGAAGAGTGCAATGATAATACCAACGTGGGCCAGTGAAGCAACGTCCTCTACAACTAGACTGAAGAACAAAAGGACAGCAACTTGTCTGTTCCCCTCCCCTGATTCTCCAGCGCTGTTCCCCTCCCCCAATTCCCCAGTAAAATCTTTAAAAAAAACACACACAAAACTATGACTACTCTGTAGCTATGTAAAAGAACAAGACTGGCATATACAGCATTTCATAGTACACGTGGTCCTTTCCCGTGTTGCCTCTTTGGAGATATGGCAGTTATTTTAATGAACATTTTGAAAATGAGGAACCTGAGGTTCAGAGAGGTTATGCAGTAAGCCCTAGGTCACACAGCTAGAACAGGGTGGGCCAACCTCAGGACTCCTGACTAGTTCTGTGCTGTTTCTGTGCTTGCTGCCTCACTGCATTCCTGATTTTGGTCAGACATCTCTGAACTGACTATCACAAGGCAATACCAGCCATAACTTCCAACAATGAAGTCTTCTTTTTCCTCTAGTGTGGGTAGAACTCCGTTAGACCGAAATCCCGCCTGAGGGCAGCTGCTACCGCTGCACAAAACCTTTCTTGCACTGCACATGCTGTTTACCTACCTTGAGAGAGGAGCCTCCAAACTCCCCTCTTGGATGGGAGCTGACGTTTATTGAGCACCTCACTGTGCTAAGTGGTTGTCAGGTACTATCTCCCCTAATCCTAATACCCTTTTATACATGGGGTGACCGGGGTACTGAGAAGATAAGTAACATGCCTCACACTGCAGTGTCGGTGAAGCAGACACACAGTATACCTCAGGCAGCTGAAGCCCTAAGCCTGCTTTATTCTTCTTGGTACGCATGGCACTTTCCATCCTATACTGTAGACTGGAGACACTCAACAACTCCCAGAGTGACCACTACGTGCCAAGAACTGTTCTGGGGTTACGCTGGTGCTCGAGTTAGATATACACTTCTATTTTCGCAGAGAAAATAAACTTGAATCAACTGATCACACAAGATATGTATTACAGTCTAGGGATACCTATGAAGAAGTGCAGAAAGCCTAGTAAGCAGGTAAAAAGAATCTGACCTCATCTGGCCAGGTGGGGTTGGGGGCAGGGGAGTGAGTGTGAAGATATCAGAGGAAGGCCCCAGGGTGAGGGGCCACCTGCATACTTACTTTATCATCCATATTTGGTTAGGGATCATTTTCTTTTTCGTCTTTATATCAGAGAGCCCATGTCAGCAAATCATGGCTGCCCACCTGTTTCCTTAAATAAATGCTATGGGAACCCAGCCTCTATGGCTGTTTTGCGATACAATGGCATAGGGGTTTCAGCAGGGACACAGTAAAATCTCTACTACCTGGTCCTGTGCAGAGTTTGCCAACCTGTACCCTGCAGCAACATGTTCAGGTCATACACAGGAAGCATTTGAAAGTTTTTATAAATTACATTTATTTTTACTCTGCTTCTATACGATGTTGAAGGGAATTATAAATATATACATAGGTTAAACACAACCAGCGACAGAACACCACACAGTGCATGATTCCATGTATATGAACTGTCCAGACCAATAAATCTATAGAGACAGAAAGCAGGTTACTGGTTGCCTGGGGCTGGAGGAAGCAGGGAGGTTGGAGGGGAAAAAGTGATTGCTAATGGGTAATGGGGTTTTTATTTGGCGCTGATGAAAAGGTTTTAACAATGATTGTGGTGATGAATGCACGGGCTCTGTAAATACAGTAAGAGTCACCGAATTGTACACTTTTGACAGATGAGTTGTATGGCATGTGAATTATATCTCAATAAAGCTGTTATTGAAGAAGAGTCACATAACTGAAGTGTGCTTTTATTTTGGTGGTGGGGATTTAGGTTTGATAGATGGAAGAAGAATATACTTATTTTAGAGAGTCTAGTTAATTTTTTTTAAAGTCATTACAACAGAGCAAACAACTTGAGTCTGACTCGCCTAGATCCTCAGATGGGAAATGTCCAATAATGCACTGTCTATTGTAAGAAGCACTGAACGGCTAATCCTAAAGGACAGGTTTTCTGCTCCTTCTGAGCCCTAGAAAAGTTGCTAGGGGGGCTTTTATGTAGGGTTCACTGAAAAAAATGAGAGCCAGAATCATTGAAGACAATTTTATAGAAATGACAGTGATGACTGTTTCTTACGTTGACGCTCAGTGAAAACCAAGGGCTCAGAAATGCGTTCGATTGTCTAGGCCAGTGCTGAGCCATTGAACTCTCTGGGATGATGAAAATATTCTGAATCTGCAGTGTCTAATAAGGTAGCCACCACCCTCACGTGGTTACTGAACACTGGAAATGTGGCCAGTTTAATTAAAATTAAACTGTAACTTAAATGTACTCCATTTCATTTTATTTAAATAGTCACATGTAGCTAGTGATTGCCATTCTGGACTGGGCAGGTCTAGAAAGTATGGAAATGACACTAGAATGCTATTTACTGAGCCCTATAAGTAACTCAGCACATTTTGTTGCCCTAAAAAACTGACAGTGTTTGGTGATGGTTTAAAAATTCAATGCAAAACACATTTTGTACTCAG